AAGGTCACTCAGAGGTAACCTTTAACATAGGCAGAGTCAGGTCCCTGCCACATGGCAGAAAAAAACACTGGCAAAGTGCGGCTATTCAGAGCCGGACCAAAAGAAACATGTGGCGGCGGGATCACATAGATCCCCTGAGCCGCCATGCCGTTGCTCCCCGGCACGATCAGATCCTGGGGAGGAAGCCACCGACCGGAGACCGAGACAGCCAGCTGCGCATGCGTGCGCATGCGCAGTTTGGCCAGGAGCCTCGGATGCGCCGGCAGAAGGACGCACCGGCAATCCCATGGCCGCACTTGATGCGGCCTTTCTGGTAAGTCCACTTCTGTAGGTGGTTTCTTTTAGCTACGGATTTTCGGCCTGAAGGGCCGGATCGGGGATGGGTGCGCAATGCTTCCCAGATGTTGCGGTGGGATCGCGCCCATTTGCTGTGCCCCCGATCCATTCCTCTTCCGGCCCTAAACCTCCCATGTGACCGGGGCCTCAGAAAGCCTCTTGCCTTCTCACTATCTCCCCCCATCTGACCATCCACCTAACCCCTGGCAATCAATCCTTCAAGATCTCATCCATGTGCTTGCAGTGGAACACCCACTCTCTTCAAGAAAGCTAGCTCTTTGTAGGAAGTCCGCAAATCTCTGAACCTGCCAGTGTTGGCTTGTTCCTCACTACAGTGCATGGCTTAATACTTCATTGTGGCTTCTCCTCTTCCTGGCAGAGTCACATGGGGTTGCCAGCTCTGTGTTGGGAAATTTATGGAGATCTTGGAGATGGGTGGGATCTGAGGAAGGGTGAGACTTCAGTGGGGTATAATGCCATAGAGTTCACCTTCCAAAGTGGTCATTTTCTCCAGGGAAACTGATCTCTATCACTTGGAGATCAGTTGCAATCCCAGGAGAACTCCAGCCTCTGCCTGTAGGTTGGTAACCCTTTGATGTTACGTGCTTGTAGCTCATTGGATCTCATTCTTCTACTTGGGGGGGGGTTTACAGTTGGGTCCCACCATGTACTGTTGCCAACGTTTGGCAGTACAACCTAGGGAAGATGGGGTTTGGGGAGAGACCTCAGTGGCATATAATGCCGTAGAGTCCTCCTTCCAAGACAGCCATTTTCTCCAGGACAATTGATCTCTTAGTCTGTAGATCAATTTTAATTCTGGGAGATCTCCAGGCCCCACCTGGAGCCCTAGCTTCAGGTCTGGAAAGTTTGAAGAGCACTGACAAAGTTGGTTGACGCAGACAACCATTCACCAAGTGCTTACTTCTGTCTATACAGATGAACAAACTGCTCCAGGGTTAACTCCTCCCCATTGTGAGGAACTTGGTCATTTGTGGTATCTTTCAGATTTTTTGTAGCATTATTTTGATTGATATTATTTCTATGGTTTGTATTCAAACTAATTAAAGCTGGCTATTTGTTAGTGTTTATTCTCAACATAGCCAATGTGTCAGTCTTTTTTCCCTCATAAAGACATCCCTAATTTTCCTAAAAAGGAACATTGCTAACCAGTTTCCTGTTGAAAACATCAGAGATAGTTTCATATGATGTTATGATGTTAAAGGTGCCTGTATCCACACTACACCCCCTGCCCAGGTCAAGAGAAGCTATTTAGAGCCAGAAAATTGAGTGGTTAAAAAGGTTAGTATATTTCCACCCACACCCCTGCACTATTTTTCAGATCAAATGAACAACTTCTCCATAGCTACATTTAGCAAAACAAGAGTAACATGTAGTTTGGCCCTAAGGTGTGCTTTATTAGCTGTAACAAACAGTCTTTAAAAATATAACATCTTCTCAACAGTCACCCCTTTCTCCCCGTAGCTCTGTTTTAACAAACAGTATACTCAATATAAATTAATTTTTAATCTTCTTTATTGTGAATAACTGCAAGAATTTGTCAATTTCTTTCTGCGTGCTAAAACGGAACAGAGACTTTCCACAGCAAGACATAGGCTGCAACCAGACATGCCATTTGTTGCAGAGGGGAAGTGAGCCTATTTCCCCTGGTTGAAATTGATACGGTATTGCTCGATCACACATCCTTTGTAGCTGCGGGCTCAGCCCATCATTGCATGATCAGACGGCACATGCAGGTGAGTGGGGGAGGGTTGCCTTTTGTTTCCCACGCACATAAATGAGGAATCGCACCTCCACACAGAGGGTTCCCCATGGAGTATGCGGTTATGCGCATACTGCTAAGCGAGGGGGGGGGAACAGCACTGAGTTGGGATGGAATGAGCAGACCATCCCAACGGCTTGAGTGCGTGTTTGAGCAATCAGACAGGGGGAAATCTGTCAGGGGCCCATCGGCAAGCATTGAGACCGGACTTTCACCAATGTCTTTTAACTCCGCTACCGTGGCGAGGCAGCACAGGGTGCCAATGGCTGCAAGATCTTTCCCAGATGTTGCTGTCTGATTGTGCCCTTTAGATCTGTCAGGCATTTGCAGCTGAGTCAGATCTAAAGGCACATCTGACAACAGAGAGACCTTGGGTCAGATGTCCTCCACCACCCCCTCACTAACATTGCCATGCCTCTCCCTCCTCCACTGCATCTCCCCCTTAACACACACACTGTCTAACCTATCACTCAGCCAATGGTGAGGCAGGGCACATTCCAGCATCTCTCCAATCAGAAAATGAGAGCTTGCCCCAGAGGGCTCTGTGATGTTGCAGGTGTCTCTGAAACAATCTTCCGTTTGTTGGTGGGAGAGGCATCCGGGGAAAAGCAAAAGATCTTGTGAACATGGTTCTCTAGCTGCCTTTCCCAAGTGCCCCTCTCATGAGGAAATGGGCAATTGTCACAGACGTTTATGTGATGTTGCACGGACCGAGCTTGGAGAACTCCCATTTTCTTGTGGGAGTGCATGAGCCAAACTTCTCTTGTTGGCCATGTGACCACTGAAGAGTCATGAGCCTTGGAAGGTGTCCTACCATACCTGATAACAAAATGTATCTGCCCCCAGAGATCTCAGATCCTGTATGTAACCTGACAGTAGGGGAGGACAAAGGGATTATAAATTTCTGATCTTTAGTATTTTTGTATATTTTGACTCTAACCTATAGCTTGTTCACAATTTGTGTTTTGTAATTTTTGTAATAGCCAATGGCTAATTACAATAAACTAACCAACAGATAAGTACAAAGCAAAAGCAAGAATGGAAGCAAGAACAAAATGCCCTTCTATGTTGTAAGGCCCACCCAGCTGATTAACTGCCTTACACATCTTCCTGGAGATGCAGACACATCCAGGTTCACATACACACACTTGCCATACATCAATCTATGTCAATAGTGTCTCTGCAATGCAGACTTCAAAAGCTGACACTGCTGAGCAAACACAGAGTGCCAACAAAGGTTAAAATGTTCCCCCTATCAAATCCATTTGCAATGAATTCATACAGAAAACAGTGCAGCTGATCACAGTACAGTTATGGCATGCAAATACTTGCCCTCAAATAAAGCTGAATCAGAGTGACTCTAAGCCAGTGCGGGACTGAATGTATGCTAGAACGAAACATCACATGCAGTACATTGAGGCCAAGGGACATTATTTACATTCAGTTTCAATTTATTGTTACACCTCATCACCTATTGTTATGTAGAAGAACAGATTCTCAATGAGGAGGGAATGTGGCTGACAGAGAGCCATCTGAGGGAAACTGTCCAGTTATTAGGGAAGGACAGGAGATCAAAGGGGAGGGAGTGTACAACATTCCCTTCAGATAAAACTAGCAGTTCCTCTCACCAGACTAATCTCCCTGGAGGTCCGCAACATCTCTGTACCACATGACCCGTGGAAGAACTTTTCATCCACGATTCATCCACACAATGATACCCTTATTAGCAGGGCATGAAACAGAGCCTCCATATTCATCCATAGTTTCCATTTCATGATTCTTTTAAAGCCCCTTCAGACAGGCTTACAAACACATACACAGCACACCCAAAGTTGTAATTAAAGCAATAACCATACAACAAAAGTAATATCAAAGGCACAACTGTACCGTCCTGTCAAACAGAGAGGAGAATTTCACATGCCAGAGAAATGTTGAGGTAAAATGTATATGAGGATGTGCGGTAAAATGTTTGGCCTTTCTGTAGGGAACGTACTTGAATTTTGGAGCACTTTAATTTCAGCCCACAACCCCCCATTTTCATTTCACTTTCTCACTTGTGTGACTCAAATCAGTTCCTTCCAGCCAAACTGATCCCACATTATTTGTGTTCCCAAACCCCTGAGTTATTATATATACATATATATTAGATGCAGGGCTCTTTTTGTAGAAAAAGCCCAGCAGGAACTCATTAGCATAATAGGCCACACCCAACAGCAGAAAGCCATTAGCATATTATGCCACACCCCTGACAACACAGCTCATTAGCACATTAGGCTGCACCCCCATGTTACCAGAAATGTGGTCATCCAGCCACACCCACCTTTTGCTTGTTCTTCTGTTTACCTTGTTTGTTGTCAAAACCCAGGGCTTTTTTTGTAGCAGGAACTCCTTTGCATGTTAGGCCACACACCCCTAATGTAGCCAATCCTAATGAGTTTCTGCTGTTGGGTGTGGCCTATTATGCTAATGAGTTCCTGCTGGGCATGGCCAACTCGGGAGCCAGCCGGAACTCCATTCCTGCGCGTTCCTGCCCAAAAATAGCCCTGATTAGATGTATAAGTGGGAAAAACTGATGGAACATGCAAACATAACACAAAGGAACCTACACATTCAACAGCAACAAGCAGAGAGCTGTAAACAAAAGACAGGAAACATCCCTACACAGCTGCAAATGTGCAACAAAGCATGTGGTAAAAGAACCATTTGGATCCATCAAGCTGCAGTAGAAAATGAGGACAGGAAATGATCTGGGGTATGGAACATGTGACACAAGGAAGGAATTGTAATGGGCATTTTCATATTGAAACATCAAGGATAAGAAATGCAGAAACCATCTTTAATACAGACACACACATGACTTGGTAGAAAATTTTCTGAACTTTACCTCAATTTGAGGGCTGGTTGTAATTTCTGTGCCATCATGGGAGTAATGAGTCTCAGTGTACTCTTTGGAAAAAAGATCCCTGGAAAGAATACAATGGGTTTGTTATTCAAGGCAAAATTAAACTGAACCAAAGATAATTATGTACTATGTCTGCAGTCATCCTTTGCCATTTGTCAATGGTACTGTAACTTTGTTTTTAGCATCAGAGTAAAAAAATTAAAGGAGAGGGGCAGGAATATAAACTTCTCTGTGACATAAGGTAAAGGTTTCTCTTGCTTGAAAGCCAGTCAAATCCGACTCTAGGGGGCGGTGCTCATCTCCATTTCCAAGCCGAAGAGCCAGCCATTTCCAAGCCGAAGAGCCAGCTGTCCGAAGACTTTTTCCATGGTCATATGGCCGGCATGACTAAATGCCAAGGCACACAGAACTCTGTTACCTTCCCACCGAAGCAGTACCTATTTATTTACTTGCAATTTCTTGCTTTTGCACTGCTAGGTTGGCATATAGAATGAAGCAAAAAGAGAAGCAACTACCAGCTTTAAAACACACACTGATATCTTGTGGGCTTGTTACTTGGTGGTTTATCACTAGCAACAGGCTAAGGTCAACGTGCATATAACATTTATAAGAGCAATGAAGCCATTCTGAAATTGCTCTCATCACATTCAGATTGAACACATCTATTCTTCTTCATGACTCAGTTGAGGGGGGAGCTTTTGCAGACTTCAAGCAGAAGCACTGACTGGCTAGTTCCCATTAAGAAACCTCATTCTTCCAATCTCCAGAGCAGTTTGTTTTGGTTTCTTATCAAATCTGCTTCTTAGAAAATTGATAGTGACAAATGTACAGATAAATTTAGGGCTATTCAGGTGATTCCTTTCAATAAAAACAGAAAGCTGTAAGATACAGTCTGACTGAAACACAGTGGGTGCGGTGGCCTTAGTGAGCTCTGGACCAACTACTTCCTGGCTCCTAGCCCCTGTAGTAGCCAAGCTTCACTTGGCCAGGCTGCTAAACTTGCAGATGAATATAAGGCTCCCATTTTAACTACAACAGAGCAAGCTGGCCAGATAAGACAAGCTTTTTTTGTATCCAAGACATCATTTCAAAGCATGCCTGTTCCTTGAATCTGAATTACTTAATAAATTACTTAATAAAACGTGATGCCCTGGCCAATCCAAGGGACCAAGAAAGCCTGTTGAGCTGGTTAGTTATTACATGGATACTGGCCAAGCAGCAATTGTACTTCTCATTATCTTATTTATATCTTAGTCTACAGTTTGTGTTAAAAGATTATAAATGCTCTGCTGGGAGTCGGGGACTATCTAGGCAATTGGTAATGCTGCTTTTCGCAAGGCCCCCTGAGTAAGGCGACAGAGTTAATTGTGCATACATCTTTCCAGTCACCACACTTTTATATTGCCCTTCCCTCCAAAGACAGCAGACATGATTCACCCTCTTCCATTTTATCCTCAAAGCAACCCAGTAAGGTAGGTTAGGGGAGAGGACTTGTAAAAAGGTCTGAGATGATTTTTGAAGCATTTTCCTGTCATAGTTTTAGAAAATAATGAACTCTTCGAACAGCAACTACAATGTCATTTCTAGGACTGCCAGCTCTGGGTTGGGAGATACCTGGAAATTTTGGGGAGTGGAGCCTGGGGAGGGCGGGGTTGGGAGGAGAGGGACCTAAGGAGGTTATAGTGCCATACAATCCACCCTCCAAAGCAACCCTTTTCTCCAGGGGAAGTGATCGCTGTAGTCTGGTGACCCACTGTAATTCTGGGAGATCGCCAGCCACCACATGGGGGTTGGCAACCCAGTAGGGTTGCCAGGTCTGAGTTGGAAATTATCTGGAGACTTTGGGGGTGGATCCGAAAGAGGGCGGGGTTTGGGGAGAGGAGGGGCCTTAGCATGCTACAATGCCATAGAGTCCGCCCTTCAGAGCAGCCATTTTCTCCAGGGTAGCTGATCTCTGTCAGCTGGAGGTCTGTTGTAAAAGCAGGAGATCTCCAGGCCCCACCTGGAGGCTGGCAACCCTAAGTCTATGTCTAAACTTTGGTTCCCATGTGCAAGCAGTCATCTGGAAAAATTCTTGACCACGGGGGGTAAGTGGGGGCATGCATATGCTTCAGCTCGCATTAATTACCAGGAGCAACCCCTACTTTCTACTCTTCATTAAAATGTTCTGTCAGTTGCTAACATGGTCTTTCTTCAGTTTTTTCCTCAGAAAGTGTCTAGAAATTAAATTTCTGAGCAGGTCGCAATTGTTCCTTATCTCTGCTGCAGATATATGTAAATGAATGGATGTACATGAATACTAAAGTGTCATACAATGGGAGCACCAAAACATCAGGCAGTGCATAGCTGTCATTTTATACACTATAGCTGCTGAGGTAATGTATTGTAGGACAGTTATGTTTCTAATGAAAATAGTTATTTTACTAAAATGAGATGCTACTAAAAATGAAAGCCTCTTTACAGTAACAGTATCAGTAGAAATAGATATTAGCATAAGAATGAGTTTAACAAACATATTTTCTGCCAGTAAAAATTGGGATGCTCTTGGAACTTACTTATTTTTTTCTAGGTGAAGGACCACTTTTGTTCCATTCACTTTAATCTCATACTGTACAGCATCTTCATACTTGGCCTGTATTTAAGAGTATTAATGTGAATGAGTAATGGATGCTTACATGTGTAAAAAAACACCAAGCAAATCAAAATAATCAAAAAAACATATTTTGAACAATTTAACTCCTGTGCAGATGTCACAACTGGACAGACTGTGTGCGGAAGAGGGAACAGAATCGGGCTTGTTGTCTCCCAGGCCTCTATTCTCCAGTGTCCATCCAGCATAATTTCTGAATCCTGGAGTAGCATTTAGGGTGTGGGACCTAGTCTGGGTCGAGCCAGGGTTCAAATTTCCACATAGCTATCAATCTCACTGGACAAACCTGGCCTAGACACTGTGTCTCACCCTACATACTTCATAGAGTTCTTATGAGTATCAAATGGAGGGCCAATCATGTACAGTGTCATGAGATCCTTGGAGGAAGGATGGCATAAAATATGGTAGTTAGAAAGATGCACAAAATATATAGGCTCATGGACTCTGCCAGTTCATCAGGGTCCCACTAAAAGAGTGTCCCCAGTTCCGTGGACAGTCTACAAGTATCAAGCCAGCAAGAGCACTTCTCTAACTGCTCCCTCAAATATACCCAGTCAATCTGATTATTAAGTAGGGTTGCCAGGTCTCCTCTGCCTGCCAGCGGGGTGGGGGGTGGGGGATAGGGTTGCCAGATCAAAGTTGGGAAACTCCTGGAGATTTGAAGATGGAGCCTGAGGAGGACAGGGACCTCACTGGGGTACAATGCCAGAGAGTCCACCCTTCAAACCATCCATATTCTCCAGGGGAACTGATCTCTGTCTTCTGTAGACAAGCTGAAATTCTTGAGGATCCCCAGGCCCTACCTGGAGACTGGTATCCCTAGTGGATTCCATGGCATTATACCCTGCTGAGTCCCTTGCCTCCCCAAACCCTGCCTTCCCAGGCTCCACCGCCAAGGAATTGTACTGCATGGATTCTGTGACATGGTGAGTGTGTAGACACAATCATGTGGCCTTTATACATGTCATGTATTTAAAATATTTATATACCTGCCATTCTCCTGGCAGAGTCAGAAATCAAGGCAGGTAACGGTAATAACAATGCAATTAAAACTGTATTAAAAATCACATAGTTAAAAACATTGAAATAATTAAAAAAACACTGAAGCTACATTAAAATCACCCCTCTAAAATGTGCACAGCTAGAAAATATTCCCTTTGGCCCGGACTCAGACTTAAGGCTGCCAGTTGACCACCCGCAGTGGGCAACCCCCTGGCCCTGCCTGCTTTCACCCACCATCAAGTAATTGAGCTGTCGGGAAAAAACTCAGGGAGGGGTGCTGACATCATGGACACAGCGACACCACTTTCCACTGCTGCAACTGAGATGCTCTGGGAACTTCCCTGGTCTTTATGATCTTTACTAGAGAGGTTAGGCGAATTCTTAGTGTGTCTCTCACATGGTGACATTTCTTCCTGGTGATCACCTGGAAGTGACATCACTATGCCAGCAGCACTCTCCCTCCCCACACTACACCCTACAAAAGTCCCCTGGAGATTGCCAGCACAGGTATGGTTGCCAGTTCTTTGCTGGGAAATTCCTGGAGATTTGGGGGTGTAGCCTGGCAAGAGTGGGGTTTGGGTAGGGGAGGGACCTCCGAGGGGTATGATGCCAAGGAGTCCACCCTCCAAAGCAGCCATTTTCTCCAGTGGAACTGAGCTCTGTAGTCTGTAAATCAGTTGTCAGTCTGGAAGGTCTCCAGGCTCCACCTGGAGGTTAGCAGCCACAGGCACAGGATGGGCAATATTTCTCAGACTGTCCCAAAAGCTCTGAAGAATAGTTCTGACCAGGAAGACAAAAAGACAAAAGCATCCCTTGACCTCTTCTGGGGTGCTGTTCCACAGGCATGAAGCAGCCACTGAGAAAGCCCAAGCATTGCCACTGCAGAGCACGCCTTACATGGAGGGTCACAGACAGCAGACCTTGCTGGGAGGAGTAAGATGCCACACGAGAACATGCAGAGAGGGACTATCCTTCAGGCACATGGGCCTACTCCAGATCATGGAGAGCTTTAGAGATAAGCCCCAGCACCTTGGACTCAGAAATGAACAGGCAGCCAGTGAAAAGGCTTTAAACTAGGAGTCTCACCAGCTAGCCCCCAATAACAGATGGGCTGCTGCAATTTGCACCAACTGAAGTTTCCAAATCATTGAGTCCGATCAGACGGCTCTTTAGATCTGCGCGAGGCACGATTGCCTCACGGATCTAAAGGTAATGTCCAGACACAATCATCTGGGAAATGTCCCTCTTCTGTGGGCATCCCGTTATGCCACACTTCGGAGCCGTACTTAAAAGATACCACTTTAAATCTGGGGTTTTCGGTTACCTGCGGGACAACTGTGGACTTTCACCCGTCTGATTGTTCCACCAGTGTGCAATCCTCCCATCGGGGTGGTCTGACGTCAGACCATCCTGAGCGGGCGCCATTAAAAAAAACTCTACACATGCACGGATCAACAAGGATGCGCTGTCACGTCTATGCGCATGTGCAAAAAGTTTTCTTTTAAAAACCCACCACGCACCTCCTTCAACAAGGACATGTTGTGCTGCCCATGCACATGTGCAAATTAAAAAAAACAACACTCAGCTTTCTTTTAGAAAAACTCTCCGCTACAGCCCATCGCCAAAATTTGATCAGTCCCTCCATCCTTGCTTTTGCATTTGCTTAAAACATCGGGAGATAGGGCGTCCCCTCCCCCCCTCCGTTTATACGCTTATAGTAGAGGGACTTCACTTCTAGGCTTTAGTGTCTCATTTCAACGGCAACTCACTCATCAATCCTTTAATCGATCCACCAGGTCCTAAGACGGCCCCTGGGATCACGTCAGGCAGAGAAAATCGCTAAACCTCTAAATGCTTGTCCCGGTAGTTGCTTCTAATCCAGTACTGGGAATCAGGGCAGGACCTTCAGGGCAGAGAGTAGCCGGAGGTAGGGCTCTCCAAAGCCCCCCGGCTAGAAGCCCACTGTCTATGGGCTTCATGGGGGAGCGTGCACAATCACGCTCCCTCCTAATCCCCGATTCATGGCACACGTCTCTCGGAGGAACCAAGAGATGACACCATCATTTAAAGCGCCAAAACCGGACCAAAAGTTCATATCTTGAATAAAGCTTTGTTGATCTTAAAGGTGCCACTGAACTCTAAATTTGTTCTACTGCTTCAGACCAACATGGCTTTCCACCTGGAACTATAACCCCAAGTGATGTCACTTCTGGATAACGCTCTGGGAATCTCTCCATATTTCTGTGGTAAGAATCATAGAGACTGGAGGGAATCCTAGAGCATGACCTAAAAATTATGTGACTTCATGGTCAGATGACACTCCTCTCCCCCCCCCCATGAACATTGCAGCAGTGGAAATGCAAGTGCAGCAGTAAGGGAATTGCCCAATGGAAGTGGGCATGTGGTAAGCCTATCCTTTGAAGAAGTGAAGTATTCACCACGGACCCCACCCTCCTCAGGCTCCACCCCCAGAATCTCCAGTATATCCCTACCTGGAGCTGGCTATCTTGTACTTTAAGTAGGAGTCCCAAACTCAAGGCCAATACTTAGGCCCCGGTCACACGGGAGGATTTGCCCCTCAAGAGGGACGGATCGGGGGTGCATCAAGCGGGTGCGATCACACCGCAACATCTGGGAAGTGTCATGCACCTGTCCCAAATCTGTCCCTTCGGCCCGAAAACGCGCATTTAAAAGGTACTAGCAACAGAGCACTACCTTCCGGATGATGCGCGGCAACTCCAGGCATCTGGTCGAGGAATCGCTGGTAGCCTGTCGCAGCCAGCGCTGTTCCCCGTCCCATGCATGTCCACAACCACGCTACTGCCAGTTTGCTGCACAACGTGTGATTGGCTGCTGGAGCACGGAGCCGCGGGGGCACGTTGGATCGCGCTCCCGCGGTTCTTTTTGCTCCGGCTCTAATTTGCCTCCCTTTGGCAGTGGATCATCCCGCTTGTGTGACCGGGACCCTAGCAACCCTAATGGCTGCCCTAAAACCCAGGGGAGTGGCTGATGGAAAAAAAAATTAACTATAAACCCTGTTGAGTACACGAAGTAGCTAGTAAATCAGTTTCCTGGACTGTGCCCCAAAAGCCTGAGTTTAAACTTTCAGGGAAGAGATCAGTTTTTGGTCTCAGTGATTTTGTTTTTAAAAGTTTATTTCTAAAAATCAGGTCCTACATGCACCTTGACCACACCTATCAACAATAAAGTGAGGGGATGGGAGGAAAAGACAGCCTTTTCTTACCTTTTGGTGGGCGTTCTGACTTCCTTCTGCATCTCTTTTCTGCAACGCATGAATTTTTTGTGGATATACTACTTCATAGACCTTTACCCCAGGTAGTTTCTTCATTGAGCTCCCTTTATAAAGAAATTTTTTAGAAATGAATTGTTTGCTTTGTTATGATAGTCTGCATTTTCTACATGCAACAGTGCTCAGTCTAATTGTAAATAAAACAGCAATACAGCAGGAATCCTGTTTCGAAAGGAAGCCCAAGTATGCATAACTGAAAGCTTTGGTATAGTTTGCCTGAAGGGGCTTTCATGGCTGCTGGCAGCTGCCGAACTCATCCTCCTGCTGGGTCTGACTGAAGAAAAGTATAGCAGCTTGAATGTAGCCAGTGAAAGCAAGCCAAATCCCTGTTTGGCAAGGAGGATGAAGTTGGACCCGAGAAAGAAACCCCTCCACTGGGTGCCGGTAGGGATGTCCCCACCCCTAAGAATTGTGGCCATAGGTTAGGGATAATGAGTAACTGTAGCTGCTCAGAGACCCCTTCGGGGGTTAGAGCAGGGTAGCAAGTCGAATAAATAAATAAATAAATAAATTCCCAATTCCTTATTCATTCCTTATTCGTCACTTATTCAAGATTTCAACCAAAAACACTGAGGAGAGTTCGAAAGCGCTGAACCCCAAAATAAGGTCTGGACCACCATATGTCATACACCCCCATGTTCAGGGGACTCTTCCCATTTGGCAACTATTTGATAGGACACTAAACTTCCTGGGTCCAGCATTCTCAAGGATACTGATTGGTCATAATTCGCACCTGCCAGTGCTGCAAACATTTTATGAAATGGAAGAGCTTGAGAGACTGTGCTCAGCAAATCTGACTGATCAGATCTCAGTTCATTTCCAATATTGGTTCACTCAGATTTGCCCATGTCTCCTGCAATATGAAGGTCAGCTCCATGCAGGGTTGCCAATTTCCAGGGGAGGCCTAGAGACCTTTCAGCATTACAACTGATCTCCAGACAACAAAGCTCAGTTCCCTTGGAGCAAATGGCTACTTTGGAGGGTGGACTCTGTGGCATTATACGGCATTGAAGTTCCATCCCTCCCCGAACCCTGCCCTCTCTAGGCTCCACCCACAAATATCCAGAATTTCCCAGCCTAGAGCTGGCAAGCCTGGCCCCATACTGACCTCATGGTAAAGCTCTAGCATTGGCAGATACGGAGCTGAATTTATTAGAAGGGGCCTGTCAGTGCAATCATTTGCAACTGGATTTTCCTCTTTCACACAGGAAAATTCAGTTGCAAACAATTGCTATAGTGCACTGAGGGTACACTATCCAAGGATAGTCCGGGGCCTCAGCATGTCTTAATTCAACCCTGCCTAGGGTTGCCAATAGGGTTGCCAAATGGCGCCAGGGGGCGGGGAATCCCCCGCTTTGACAGCCTGATTTTTGATGTGACGAAAATCGGGCCCGGGGGAAAACCCACCCCCGCGTGCGCGTCACCCGGATGTGACGTCGCATGCTGGGGGCAGGCCACGGCCATTTGAGTTGAAAACATAGAGTTTTTCCCTCAAATGGCCGTGGCCCCGCCTCAGCATGCCTACATCACTTCCGGGTGACAAGCGCACACATCCCAGACACCAGAAATTTTTGGGCAACCCTAGTTGCCAACCTCCGGGAGGTGGCTGGAGATCTCCCACTATTACACGTGATCTCCAGGCAACAGAGATCAGTTCCCCTGGAGAAAATGGCTGCTTTGGAAGGTAGATTCTGTGGTATTAGCCATTGAAGTCCCTCACCTCCCCCAAACCCCGCCCTCCTCATCCTCCACCCCCCAAATCTCCAGGTATTTCCAAGCCCTGGGCTGGCAACCCTAACCCTGTCCCTGGGCATGGATTCACTCTCTGCTATGATTTGTCCAGCACCTTAAACAATGTTACCAAAGTAGATGTTTTACACTTGTGTTAGTTTTTGTTCTATTTGGACTCTGGGATGTTGTCACTGTTGACAGTCCCTTGGGTCAGAGTTCTGAGATCCTTCAAACTTTTCTGTCTTTTTACAACTGGAGACTGTGCTCTGGCTAAGGTAAGTGGGGGGCTTGTAAAGTTAATGATCTCCTGGCTTTGTCACCCAAATCATGGGCCTGAATTCCTCATGGCTGCTTCTAGCAATGTTAAATTATCTCACCATAATTACTGTTAGCCTGCGGGCAATCTCAGATTGTGCCTTCAAAAGAATTTTAACTCATTCTTCCACATTTGTGGCAATTTGGTACCCAGTCTTACAATACATGGCTGATCAAAATGTAATTCCTGTGAATTTACTTTATAAGCCGCTTGCTACTTTTTGAATTATAGAGGTATAATGGTATGCTGTTTTGTTTTGCTTAAGATGCTGTAGAAAACTATTGAGGAACTCTATTGATAAGGTTGGCTCACTATGTTTGGATAGTTATTTTACTTTGTATGTTTTAATGTTTCAGTTATGATGTTTTATCTTATGATTGTCTTGAATATGTTTTGTATAAGAAAATAATATTTTTTAAAAAATTAAAACCCCTAATTCTTCCACAGAACAATCTGTTCTAACTGCACATTCTCCAGGTTTTTGTCAATATTTCATTACTGATCTTCTTATGCAAACAAGTCTTGTGGCTCTTAAAGATTAATAGATTCACTGTGGCTTTTGAAGCCTACTTCCCCTGTTGCAGATTCAGGGCCAAATAAGAGAATGTTTAGGAAACAGAATCCCCAGCATATTTCTGATAGCTAAACAGCAGCAACAGGATAATTTGGATCAAGGTGGTAGCGTGGGTGAAGGAGTGATTAGCCTTTACCACCTCCTTTCATCTCACCTTGTGAGAGCCAGTTTGGTGTAGTGGTTAAGTGTGCGGACTCTAATCTGGGAGAACTGGGTTTGATTCCCCACTCCTCCACTTGTACCTGCTGATGTGACCTTGGGTCAGTCACAAGCTCTGGCACAGCTGTCCTTGAAAAAGAGCAGTTTGTGTCAGAGTTCTCTCAGCCCCACCCACCTCACAGGGTGTCTGTTGTGGGGAGGGGAAGGGAAAGGAGTTTGTAAGCCGCTCTGAGACTCCCAGTGAAGGGCGGGGTATAAATCCAGTCTCTTTTCTTCTTGTTCATTCTTCCTTCAAGGTACTATTTTCTTGTTGGGTGAAACATAAAGGTCACCTTATGTTGCCTCTGTGTTTCTCCTCAATACTGAAAATAGCAGCTCAGGGAGTGGAGTACATTTAAAATGGAGGAAGTGTCATGGGAGACAGATTAGTCGCTCTCTTGCTATGTCATGGCTTCAGCCCAAGTCTACCTCCGACCTCCCAGTCCCAACCTGACTCACCTCCAAAGGCACCTGGATCAAGACGGAATGGCAGTGCTGCTGTTGTTAGACCTGTCGGCTGCGTTCGACATGGTCAACCATCAGCTACTGGCCTCGCCGACATTGGAGTCCAGGGACTGGCCTTGCAGTGGCTTATTTCCTTTCTCCAGGGTCGGGGACAAAGAGTGGCGCTAGGGGATCAGCAGTCCCAAAGGCACCCACTAGAATGTGGTGTGCCCCAAGGGGCAGTGCTGTCCCCGATGCTCTTTAACATCTATATGTGCCCTCTTGCCCTCATTGCCCGGAGGCATGGGCTGGGTTGTCCCAGTATGCTGATGACATCCAGCTGTATCTGTTGTTGGGTGGTCAGTCCGACTCTAAACCGGAAGATCTAGACCGGGCATTGCAAGCCATGGCTGGTTGGCTTAGGCTGAGCCGGCGGAAATTGAATCCGATGAAGACAGAGGTCCTGTGCCTGAGTCAGAGCGGTCGGGGGTAGGGATCCCACTCCCGACCTTTGATGGGGCACCACTGGTGCCAGAGTTGGAGGTTAGGAGTTTGGAGTGCTCCTAGACATCTCCTTAACAATGGAGGCCCAGGTAGCAGCCACTGCCAAGTCGGTCTTCTACCGCCTCAGTCTGATTAGGCAGTTGGTTCCCTTCCTTGAACGCAATGACTTGGCAACAGTGATCCATGCATTGGTCACCTCGAGATTGTTACTGTAATGCCCTCTACATGGGGCTGCCATTGTCCCAGATCCGGAAGCTGCAGCTAGTGCAGAATACAGCAGTGAGGCTGCTGTTGTGTCTTCCTGTGCACATCCAGCCCACCCTAAAAACACTGCACTGGCTGCCTATAGCATACCGAATCCAGTTCAAGGTGCTGGTTATCACCTGTAAAGCCCTTTATGGCCAGGGACCTGCATACCTGAGGGACCGCTTTTCCCCATATGTCCCTCAGAGAGCACTGTGGTAAGGGACCCAGAATTGGCTGGTCCTCCCAAACATCAAGGAGGCCAGGCTAGGAATAACTAGGGCTAGGGCTTTCTTGGTGGCAGCTCCACTCTGGTGGAATGAGCTCCCGGAGGAGATCAGGGCCCTGTGGGACCTGTTACAGTTCCACAGGGCCTGTAAAACAGAGCTCTTCCGCCACCATTGATACCTAACAGCCTATGAAGAGCAAGCCCTACCATCTGGGCCCCACAATTACAGCTCGAGCCAACTGCCCGGACATTTGAGGAATATCAAGAAGCTGACTGTATGCTGAGGACTGAACACTAGCACGTTAATATGTGTAATATTTATAGTTGTAAATTGTGTATTAATGGTTTTATATTGCAGATTTTATTGTTACATTGCAGTGTTTTATACTGGTTGTGTAAGCTGCCCTGAGCCGGCTGTGCTGGAAGGGTGGGGTAAAAATCTACTAAATAAAATAAATAAATAAATGTTACTAGCTTGGTCCTAATCCAACTACTTCCCTGGACTTTACTTTCTTTATACATTTTCTTACTACAAAATTATTTAACAACTTCTTACCTACTGATGCAAAGTTCTTTTGACCACTATGAGGTGGGTTTAAATAATAATAATAATAATGGGCTATAAATTTAAATATACATATAATGGCTGGGCTCTAAAAGTCCTGACCTGGACACACCAGGCTAGCCTGATCTCATCAGATCTCGGTAGCTAAGCAGACTTCAGCCCTGCTTAGTATTTGGATGGGAGACCACCAAAGAATATCAGGGTTGCTAAGCAGAGGCAGGCAATGGTAAACCACCTCTGAAC